AAGAAGTATGTTTTATTTAGAGTGAATTGTAGGAGGAAAGGCATTTGCAAAATAAAGTAATTACCCAAAGTTACTATGGGGAAATCCAAAATTGGACATAATGTTTATGGTTTCTGCCTTTTTGTTCATGGATCATGGCCTCCACTTTGGTTTTTTTTTTTTTAGGTTTTCCTTGGAATTTTATTGAATATAAAGATAAATTTGGGGAGAATTCACATCTTAACAGTATTTGAACATCCAATCTGTGACTATAGTGTATTTTTCTATTAAATTATTAGTGTTTTTCTGGTGTGCTGGCAGGTCAGTTCCGACTCATAGTAACCCTGTATAGGGTTTCTGAAAGTGACTGGTGGGTTTGAACTGTAGAACTTGCGGTTACTAATACAGTGCATACTGTTTTCTTTAATTTCTGTTACATAAGTATTGCTGTTGTTGTGTGCCACAGAGTCGTTTTGGACTCATAGAGACCCTTTATAGGGTTTTCCAGGAGCAACTAAGTACAGCAGTTAGTAATGTAGAGGTCTTAAACATTTTTCACTATCACTGCCTCCACTTTTTAAAGGTCAATAGAAGGTCAAATATAGTGTAGCAGGTAAATAATAAACTGAGGTAACATGTGTAGGACAGCCAGGTCAGAATCTAATATATTCCATAAAAGCTCTTTTTCTTCCTAGGTGTCCGCTAAACTGCCATGTAAGCATTCTAATAAAACATGTCGTTAAGTGTTGCTAAGAGTCGATTCCAAGGAGTGGCTTGTGGGTTTGTACCATCACCTTGAGGTTCAAACCGACTTTGGGGTCCAGTGCTTTATCCTGGAGCCCCACATCAAGCCTTCTAATAAACCATTCTTGATGTTAAATGATTAACTCTAATTTACGTTTAATCTTTCAACTGGTCTTTCTCGATCCGTTTCTACCCCTCTTCTCTAATATGATTTTTTTTTTTCAAAAAAAGGTTGAAGAAACTAGTACAATGTTGTGAAATCAGTGTTATTAGGGAGTCGGGCAGCAAAGGACCCAACCCAGGAGGCAGTGACTCTGAGCACGTGCTTAAACTCGTTTTCAAGCTTATAAAATAAGAATAATAAATAAATCCGGAGTTAATGTTTTGCACAGCGCTGAACACAAGCAACTGTGTTAAGTGAGACCCTGGTGGAAGGAGTTTGCTATTCAGCGAATGTAAGAACCCTGAGAACCTGGGTGTCTTTTCTCCCTTGCTTGTAGTTCTTGTTAAGCGTCTTGGAGTTTGTTTGGACTCATAGCGACCCTATATAGTGTTTCGCGGTTAGCAGTTCCGTGCGTATCCTACCGTACCACAACTAGGACTCCGAATCAAAGTGTGTTGTTCAGTACTGGAGAGCTGGTTCCGACTCGTAGCAACTCTTTACAGGGTGACCAAGGAGCAGCTAGTGGGTTTGAACTACCGACCTTGTGTTATCTACCCATCACACATCCTGGTGTGGCGCTGTAGGATCAGCACTGGACTGTGAACCGCAAGGTCAGCAGTTCAAACCCACCATCGGCTCCTCAGAAACACTATGCAGGGTGGCTGGGAGTCAGGACGACTGCTACTGTTGTTATTGAGTGCCGCGACTGCACTTAAAGCAACCACAAGTTAAGTTAAATCTGAATTCGCGTTTCCAGCAATGACGTAACATGACCTCTCCGGCCACCGTCGCCGAGCATGCGTAAATAAACGTGGCGGGACGTATGTGTCATGGCGAGCTCCATCTAAACTCAGTGCTGTTTCCGGAGAGTAACGTGTAGCTTCTTTTACTTCGGACTGGTTTGTGTTTTCCCGATTGTTGGGTAAGAGTGGTAGATGGATCAGTGTGGGGCAGAGTGTGGGCAGAACGCTGCTTATGGCGGAGCTGCAATTTCCCAGTTTCAGTCTTTCTCTGACCATTTACTGGTGTGTTTCACAGTTAAAAGGGGGGACTTTCCAGCTGGAAATTTTTCTGCAGAAATTGGGTGACAGCACCGCCGGGAGTGAAGACAGGGTCGTTGGCTTTAGATGATGCAGAGTTGCATGGGATTTTTAAGGACCTTTAGTCCGTATTGTTTGAGGTCATCACTAACTTCCTTTGCCTTTCTACGTTAATGAATTTCTGAGATGTGTTAAGGCTTTTGCCGTTATCTTGCTTTCAAAAAGCTGTATCTTAATAAGGATTTTAATTGAAGTAGGCCAGTGCAGCAGGTGTCTTTTCACTTTTCCTTCGTTGTTTCTTTATAAAAACCTCTTTCTGTATCTCTGTGCTATGAGCTACATGTGTCTTTCGGGTAGGAGATCTAGATACATACAAGGGCAAGTAAGAAAGTACTGCTGCAAATCTTAGGACGCTTTATTAAACAAAAAGATCAAAATGTGAAGCTATTGTTTCTCGACATATCAGGGAGTGTTTCCCTCTCTCTAACCCTTCTCTGAATGTATCCTGTGCTCTTTGACTTAGTACATTACAGCAAAACTGTGGTATTAACACCTTCGTGTTCCTTTACAATGTTCTTTGAGTTTTGTGAACCAAAAGGAAGTCTGAATGGTTAAGATCAGGGCTGACGGGTGGATGGGGCAAGGTTTCCCCATGAATCTAGAACTGCTCTTGCTGTCCTGGAGGAGTAAGTAGGTGCATTGTTATGATGGAAAACAATTCTTCAGTACAACATTCCTGGCCTTTCTCTCACCAATGAAGCATTCTGTATTCACAAAACTTACTTTTAATAAGCCCTGTAATCATC